CAGACAGACAGACAGACAGTCAGTCAGTCAGTCAGTCAGTCAGTCAGCAGACAGACAGACAGACAGACAGACAGACAGACGGACAGACAGACAGACAGGTAGACAGACAAACAGACAGACGAACAAACAGTCGGACGCGAGCGCTTTATATATAGTGAAAATTCTCCATTGATTCTTGTTAAATTTTCTTGCTGAAATTAGGCTGTTTTTTGAATTTGTTTATGAAATAGTGTGAACTCAGACTCCCGGCTCCAAAGCTTCCGCAGTAACGTGTTTAATTAGTTTCAAGTAGATATCTTCGATCGTCCAAACTATACGACCTTAATAGTCCTTAGACACCAGAAGTAGATTTGTTCAAAATGTCAGATGTTGATCGGAGGTGAAAACTGTTTTTTTGCTAATCCAATGTTCTTCTCAGCACACGATGAACTATGCCAGCGCTTAGTCAACTCACAATTAATGAGTGAACTTATGCAAATCTCACAGGAACAGTTCGGCCCAATGCCAGAAGGTTTACAACGAATTCTATTCATAAGCTCAAGCGATGAAGAATTATCGAGAAAAGTGTGGACTCATAGACTCCGCTACATAGCCGTTCCCTACCTTGGAAAGTGAAACAATCGGCGGCCCTTTGTGAACAAAGTTCTGGAGACGGTCAGGAGAACAAAACATTCCAGAGAGCCTGAGCCACCAAGCCAATGATTGTACTTTAGTCTAAGACAGCTATATGCATTCTTCACGACCAATCAGATATCTATTCAAAATACGTCCCAGTCTAGGTTCACCAGGTNATAAGCTCAAGCGATGAAGAATTATCGAGAAAAGTGTGGACTCTTAGACTCCGCTACATAGCCGTTCCCTACCTTGGAAAGTGAAACAATCGACGGCCCTTTGTGAACAAAGTTCTGGAGATGGTCAGGAGAACAAAACATTCCAAAGAGCCTGAGCCACCAAGCCAATGATTGTACTTTAGTCTAAGACAGCTATATGCACTCTTCACGACCAATCAAATATCTATTCAAAATACGTCCCAGTCTAGGTTCACCAGGTATCACCCCTAGCTTAGACCTGCAGTACATGTCCTAGACTAAGTGGGTCATCTACTCAGTTAACTCTACGATTGTTTTGGGCTCTCCTCTTTGCTTTGAAGAGAGCCAGAACTGATTGTAGACCTCCGTGTTTTCATGAATCGCGTGATTCAGCTGGCGACGACGGAGCGAGGTGGGTCTGACTGTGATCTCGAGTAAACACGGCGCAAATGAAAACAGAATCAATCACAATGTTGCAAGAATTGTGAGAATAGAGGAAGAACGGAGCCTGCTGCTCAATAGAAGCAACCGCGAGAAGCTCCAAAGAAAAGCTGGCCGGATGTGGTCCAGAAGTGCCTCACCGAAATTAAGATAACAGCAGAAGATGAGGAGAGATCAGAGAAAATGGCGAGGACAGCAACAAGGACAGCAGATCCTATGTGTGACAGAGTAGAATCAACGCTATGGAGAGGAATGAGAGGGCAATCTCGGTCTGGTTATACGAAAACAAGCTGCTCTCTGTCGGTACAGGAGACTGCAACGTTGAAGAGTAGAGGATAAAGCCCTATCGAGACGCACCCATGTTTCCGACTACGTGCAAAATCATAGCGCCATTTCTATGGGTACTTCTCCTTGCATTTGCGTGGGTCAGCCGACTTACAATTTACCGTTTTGACAGCCTATTTTCGGAGATTATAACTAGTTTCAAGGCGAACTTTTTTTATTGAAAATTAGTTCATTCGATTCTACACGTTTTTTGCAACGTGGTAAAAGTTTGTTTATTTCATCCTCATGAAAGTCCGATGAATCACCCCTGAAAATTCAAGAACGGCAGCTTCCACATGACCTTGACTATCAAATACTCGATCCCTCAAGGAGAAGTCCAGTTGTATCAATAAATGGAAGTCAGTTGATGACACGTTCGGTGAGCAAGACGATGTAGGACTTCAATCCGCAGCTCACTGAATCTCTGCAAGACGATTTGTAACACATGTGGTCGTGCACTGTCGTGCAAAAGCTATGGAAAATGGCGAATCACTAGTACTGGCTGCATTCGCCCCAGTTTTGTGAGTTTAAATCACAGTACGACTGTGTGATGATGATTTGACTCAAACGAGAAAGCTGGTGGAGAATTGATTCATGACCAGACCACCAAGCCGTGATCACTGGCTTCTTGACATGTAAACTTGGCTTGGAAAAAGTTTTTAGAGGCCAATTTACACTCATCCACTGAGCAGAACGATTTCGGTTGTCGTAGAGCATCCATTTTTCATGAGACGTTACATTAAGATGAGAAAGGGCTTAACATCATCTTTTCTCAGTAGCGAACTTAAAAACTCTGAACGCTTCAATTGCTACTGCTCCGCGAGTTGGCATAGCACCCACTTTTCCATTCCAAGTTGCTTTAGGTGACAGTATGGGATAAGCTCATATTCTTGGCAATCTCTCTCAAAGAATGATCCAATCTGCTTGGCTGCTTCTAACAAAGCATTGTGATCAACTGACGATGTCGACCAACTCGCTCTTGTTTTCCAGTGACTTGTCTCCACTCCTTCGCTTCCGAAACTCGTAATGAACCATTCGCATCGATGCAGCGACTTTTCCCAATGAAACGCAGACGTTTGTGGCTGCCTCCTTCAGCGTTTAGTGAACTCTGTAGGTTTACTAGGACTCTCGCACCGCCCGAGTACTTCTCTGCGACTGAGATAGATGCCATATTAAAGAAGTCTAAGCAGGCTACGTTCTTCCTAATGCGAGTGCTTCAACTGAGTACGTTCCCATTTCTTCTAAATCGTTAGCTCATTGCATTGTGTCCAATGATCATGTGACCCTTCGTAAAAATTGTTGTAGGAAATCAGAATGAAAATGACTTAAAAAAACTTATAATAAACAAGGGCCTGTTCTCGAACTTGACGTAGATTGCTTTAGCAGCGGCGAATTATATATACCGTAACATTTTCAAAACGAAAAAATAGATGAAACGAAAAGATTTGACAAAGAATCAGAATATTGCTCACGTCTGGATAAACTATCGCTCTCTATAACATATCACCGTTCCACAGCATGGTTGCAGTAGACTTCGCAGACGTACTCCGCTCCCTTGCAATAAGTAATGGGGGAGACCTCATCAGAACTCTGATCAGGAGATCGGTTGTCAACTTTAGAGAGCGGCTTCGAAGTAGCATCCAAAGTACGTGGATAGTATCTATCTCCTCCAAATAATCACTTCGATTTACTTCGTCATATTAACTCCTTGATTGGAAGTTGACTGCTAGTCGTGGATGAATACTTTTGGAATGCCACACGCAACTACTCCATTCTTATCAGGCTTATTCCTCATGCTCAATTAAAAGCGATAAGCAGTTCATTCTGGAGGCAAGTTACTGCATCCAACCACATGACTTAAATTCTTGTAATCACTTT